GGTTTTTGGCCACCATCATGTGTAGGTATGAAGGAAGAATCTGGTAGTTCTCTTCAGGTGTTCCCCTTATGCAAGCAACACCTTTTTGAATAGCACGCCATGCCTTGTGATAACCAATGTCAATTCCAAATTTCTTTTTCATTTCATTTTCTACAAAGGCTGGTGTAACCTCTATCTTTTTGTCTCGAACATGTTCTATAATTTGTTCGCTTATAAAATTTGATGTAGCATGCTTCTGATCTGATTTTCTTGCATCAACCGAGCATTCATGGATGTTATGATATTTTATCACCTTGAACAATGTGGAATTTTTTATTCTGGTGGCACGTACATTCCAACCACATTTGTCCACGATGCATTTCAGCTCGTATCTCTTGGAACATGATCTAACAGCAGTGAATTCAACTTTTTGATTTATCTCCAAGCTGCAGAAAAATTTAGTCATGTTTTCTTTGTTCTCAAAGATTGATCCAACTCTTACTTCCTCAGGTAATGAATCGTGCCTTAGTATTTTACATGGTGGAGATTCTTTGACCTTTCTCCTCACTCTTTTTCTTGATTTCTGATAAGCAGAAGAACTTTCAGCAATTTCTTCAATTCTATGTGATGTTATCGGTATAAGCTCCATGTTTACTTTATCTTCATTGTTATTTATCATTGCAGAAGGTGACAAAAAGCTTTGTTGGATTTTGTGTTGGTTGTCAATTTGTATTATTAGTTGTCCTTCTTCTTCTTGGTCATTGAGAAACTGGTATGAATTTATTGGCGGAGGGGATAATTGTTGTGAAGGAGCTGTAATGATAGAAGGTTGTTGCCCTTTGTCTACTTCCATTACTGGCTGTCGTAGTTCATATTAATACTCAGATATAGGCTCTGAATCTACTGCATATGCAAGAGATTGGTTGAATGCTGCTGATTCTGAAAGTTGTATTTTTTCGCTGACAAAATGGCAATTCTTGTAGGGTGAATCAGTTGTAAGCAAATGTATACAGGTAGTGAGTTCTTCATCTGAAGTTACAAGCATTCCTTTGCTTGTATTTAGTTTGATATCAAACCATACTTTTAATGCATATCTGGTTGAATCTATATTTGCAACTTTACTAATTTTCTTCTGGAAAGTATTGAATGATATGTCCTTATTAAGTAGAACAAGTTTTGTATCATGATCCAAGTATTTGAAATCAGGAGTCTATCGCCCATTGAATGTTATAACAACACAAATCGAACTCATCCTGCAGATTCATGTTTAGTGGCAACTATTAGGAAAGTGAACAGAAGAATTTTTATGTTGTATGTGCTGAAGTTTTTACAAATAAACTAAATCACTTAGGCATCTTCTGCTGAAGTTTTTTTGGAAAAAGATCTATGACATAATTAATGAATTCTGCAAATAAAACTTCAGCTTATAACTGCTAATGTGTTTAGAGATAACCTTAATAACTTCAGCATATTAGCTGAAGTTTTTTTATCATGGTGATTCATAAATGCAGATGAAAAAACTTCAGCAGGTACATGCTGAAGATTTTAGAAATGAACTAAAAAACTTCAGGAGATTAATCCGAAGTTTTTTACAGAAAACGATAGAATGTTTCAGCATTAATTACATAGTATACATCATTAACCTACACAATTAAAGTAGTAATTATATTGCGTTTGGGGGTATGTGTTAGTGTAATAAATACATTCCTATCATATTCAGGTACGCTTTTCATTAGACAACCTTTAAAATTCCTTTTTGCCTTTTCATATACCATGCAAAAGTTTTTTCCCCCTATATAAGCACGCTATTCCTTCTGAGTTTATTCACTCAAACACATACACTTTAGCAGATATAAAATACAAAAAGGAGAAAAATGGATGCTGTCATTAGGCAAATAGTGGACGAGATCAAGCAAGACATAATGGAGGCATTTGAGTTGAAGATTGATGAGGTGATAGAAAAGTACGACAAGGAGCTCAAAGAAATTAACAACAAGCTTGATATGCTTGTGATGTATGCAAGATTTGACAATCTTGCTGATGAAGATGCTCGTCCATCTGGAAGCGACAACGATGATGATGATGATGGAATGGACGATTAATTTTTTTGTTTTGTTTATTTATGTAATTTGTTTTTATATTTTATTGTGTTTTAATGAAATATTAAGTTTTTGTTATAAGTTTTTTCTGCGTTTCTTTTAATATTTATTCTATTTAAATACGAAAAATAGCAGAGGAAACGAACTATTCGAAGTTTTTTTAGTAATAACAAAAAAATCTTCAGCTGCTTATTCGAAGTTTTTTTAGTGCAGTATGATTTTTTAGTTTAGCTAGTGTAGGAGGAAAACTTCAGCCTCCTGCTGAAGTTTTTGAGTAATAACAAACAAACTTCAGCTGCTTGGCCGAAGTTTTTTTAGTGCAATATCATTTTTTAATTTAACCAGTGTAGGAGGAAAATTTCAGGCTCCTTCTGAAGTTTTTAAGTAATAAATAAAAAACTTCAGCTGTTAGGCCGAAGTTTTTTTTAGTGCAATATGATTTTTTTAATTTAGCCAGTGTATGTGGAAAATATGCTGAAGTTTTTGAGTAATAACAAAAAAACTTCAGCTGCTTGGTCGAAGTTTTTTTAGTGCAATATCATTTTTTAATTTAACCAGTGTAGGAGGAAAATTTGAGGCTCCTTCTGAAGTATTTAAGTAATAAATAAAAAACTTCAGCTGTTAGGCCGAAGTTTTTTTAGTGCAATATGTTACTAACATATCACACATTAAATTAGAATTCTGTGAATTAATCAGAAAGCATTTTGAATTCTGGAGATGAATTTGATTTGAATATGGAATTTATATTCCTTCACTGAAATTCGTCAAACAACCAGAAAACATAAAATTCAAAAACTATTTTGAATTCTGGAGATGAATTTGAATACTTACAATGTATTTGAATTTGAAATTGAATATGGAATTTGAATACGAGACGCGTTCTCAGGAGGAACTGACTGATGGAGGAGATACGGAGGAGATCTGTAATTTGAATCTGTGAATACGGAGGAGAGACGCACTTTTATATGTTTTGGAAGGGGTATAATGGTCATATTAACACGGATTTTCTGTTAGTTGGTTACGAAATCAATAATTTTTAGAAACAGGGTATAGGTTAAAAGGTAACATAAAAAATGGGTACCGCTGCAAATCTAATGTACTGGTAAAATTCTTCTAGGATTTACAAAGCCCAATTCAGCAAACACTTAAGTTTTAGAAAAAATACGTTGTGAAATGCTTAGTCAAATCTTTTAATGGCATACGTTCTGAAAAACTTAAAAACAACATAATTTCAGGATAGAAACTTAAGTGGTCATGAGTTTTTAACTTAAGATTCAAAAGTTTAAGCAAAAATATTTAAATAAACTTATTAACATATTAGTAAGATGATTGAAAATTAATAATTTGTCTAAATATACTATATAGTCAAATTTGACTTTCCTTCCAAAAAATTTCACTTGTAATTTTATTTCAAGTTGGACAATAATTTATTTACTTATTGCTTTTTAATTTCTCACCAAACTGAGAGAAGAAAAAACTAGTAAATTGGTGACCAGTTTCTCTTAATTTTTAGTTTTCTTACCCAAACAGCTACCGCTGCTTCTGCTTTCCTTATTTAGAGGAGATGATTTTTATATATGAGGAAGCCATTATATTACATAAAGAAGATTTCGGATTAAAATATGATGTTGCGTTATGGGAGGAAAGTTTGTGTATCCTCTGTTTGCACATGTTAAGATTTGATGCTCCCAATATGTATGGAATCGAATTATGAGATTTAACTCACAGTCCGTGAGTATAATAGCCCGTTTGTTACGAAATAATTTATGTTTGATTAATTAATTCGAAAAATACTTTTGAAAACAATAATTAATATTTGGTCAAACTTTTGAAAAGTGTTTCTAAGTATATTTTTCTCAATTTTTTTTCTATGAAAGTACTTTTGGAAAGAAACTATTTTTTTATGTTTCTCAAGAATTGCTTCTGCTTATACTCAAAATTATTTTTCCTTTTAAAAGCTTGGTGAAACACACATTGAAAAAAAATAACTTTTGGCAACAAAAAAAAAGTGCTATTGGCCAAAAAAAGCTTGGCTAAATAGACTAGCAGGACCCATTTGTCCGTGGATTTTTTTTCTTTTGTTTTTCGATTTTTTTTTTTCAAAAACGTGTTTGGCCATGAAATTTGACAAGCTATTGGAGATTTTTCGACAATGAGTTTTTCAGAAGACCCATGTCGTTATACTATTGGTTCAAATATTCCTTTTTTTCGTTAAATTTGTCCAAAGTGGACATCCAATCCTACGTTGCGCTGACATTAGATGAGGTGGATGCCACATGGCTTGCCACCTCAGTGCCCCTAACCTATTTTACCCCTCCCTTCTATTTTTTTCAACACTAATTTTTTTTCCTCCACAACTATTGCCACCATTATCGCTATCATGAAAAATATTATATTTCAAATTTTAGTTTTATATATGGATTAGGGGCGCTGAGGTGGCATGCCATGTGACATCCACTTCATCAAATATCAATGCCACGTATGATTAGATTTTCACCTTGGACAAACTTATCAGAAGAAGAGTTTATTTAAACCAATAATAATACGAATTGGAATATATTTGAACCCAATGTATAACGAAGGATATATTTAAACTTTTTCTCATAGTAGAAGATTATATTTGGCCTTTGCCGTATTTAAAATAAAATCCTAATCCATTTTCCTTTATTACCACACTTACCAAAAAAAATTAAAAACAGATTCCTTATCCAAGAAAAAGTGCAAGAAAAGGTAAAAGTGAAGATAAGTCATTACCAGATGCGTTGAAAGTACGCTCTTTTACTTCCCTTTTTCTCGTGTTAGAATTCCTTCTTCGTGGGTCCCCTTGGCCCTCCTCCAACTATCACCGCCGTTGCATCAATTATATCATCCCTCATATCAACAATCAGATCATCACGGTCAAAACACGAAGGTCCACTTTAACTACGATAAAACCACACACACGTTAACATATCACTCAAATCCTCGGATCTTCTGTATTTCACAATATAAGACCAGCACACTCCCACTCTCTACACTCTACCTATTCATTCTTCACCTTTAGCTTCTGTACTTTCCGGCTATTATTTTTAGGGTTACGGTGAAGTATGGGGGCGGCGTTGTTACCAGATCTAGGGACGGAGATTGTCATTCCGGTATGCGCCGTCATTGGAATAGTGTTCTCGTTAGTTCAATGGTACATTGTCTCGAAAGTGAAGCTGACGCCGGAATCATCTTCTCCGAGCAACAACGGTAAGAATGGGTACGGAGATTACTTGATTGAAGAAGAGGAAGGTATTAATGATCAAAACGTCGTCGCTAAGTGCGCCGAGATACAGAACGCTATCTCTGAAGGTGAGCTAAAAAACCTCTCATTTCAGATCTCCTTAGATTCTTTCCAGATCTGAGTGTTGTGTACTTGCCTTGTCGGTGCTCTTTTCTACTCATTTTGGTGTTAATACTCCCATCGTCCCAATTGTGTGATGTTGTTTGAGCTGGTACGGAGTAAAAAAAAAATAGACGGTTGAAACTTGTGGATTAAAACAAATCATAGACATTTGTGTAGCAATAAATATCTCAGTAAGGATAAGATGAGAAGTTTAAATTTGAATTGTTTCCTTTATATATCCTTTTTGGACAGACTAAAAAGGAAAGTCTAATTTGAGTTTTCGCTGGTTAAAAAAACAAACTTTTTTATGCCTCCAGGAATTTACCTGGTAGTTAAGTGAAGAGAGCCATCTTTATTTTCTGAGCTAGAAGCAGTAGATTTCTCCTAAAGAAGAACAAACCTTTTTTACCGCATCTTTTGTTTATATAATGATTCAAGCTCATATGCTTATCTTTAGTTGAGTTCAACATCTTTTTTTTAATGTGTCATGAATATGTGTTTCTGGAAAGGCTAAAAAGAGTAATCTTTTGACTGGTTACGTGAAAGATAGACATTATAGATGCAATTGTTGATAAGGTCACATATTGGTGTAGGGTTTGTGGTGATAGATATTACCCTCTTGAGGTTGAGGTTTTGAGCTCATTGGTGACTTGAACTTCAACCTCTTGGTTTCGAGGTGAAGGGCCATTCCACTAAGCTGTCTGTTCTTGTTTTCAGTTCACATGAGTATTATGGCACGAGGAAGTACTCATATTTGGTCTGTAAATTAAGTGAAGGACACTGTAGGTGTAGTAATATATCTCCTCGCTTCCTTTTTTATGCTAATCTAACTGTGCTATGTGATATTTGTTCAATTTTATATGTCCTTATCTGCTTATCAAAATTTGTTCATTTATTGATGTAATATTGCTACATTCTACACATGCTATTGCTGTTAATTTAGTGCAGTGTTTGTGCTGTTGTTTTGAACTTACGCTTCTTTTTATTATTTTTTGGCTGTTACCTTACTTGGTTTGTTGCTGGCTCAATCTGTGTATCCCTTTTATAGGCGAAAATTGTGATGCAATATTGAATGGTTGCTGTCTTTTCCTTTAAGGATTTGCTGGCCTGAGTGAGTGTGTAGCCAGCTGCTACGAATTCTTGGATTTTTAAAAGCCTGCTTAAGTCTTTCTTGCGTTGTTTAGATCACTTTTCTTCAAAGGAGATACATGTTGGTGGAACTCTTTTTTTGGTGCTAGAGCTATATATGTAGTCTAGCAATTATTCTGTTTATTTTTCTGCATCTCCTTTTTCACGGGGTTCTATTTTCAACCTTTGCCCATCCCGTTTTACTGAATACTTTAGTCACAGAGAAATTCTGTTATAAATTAATTATATTATTCCTATAGGTTGTGCGTTTCTAATCCAGTTTATTTTTTTGTATTTACCAACACCAAATATCTGATGTGATTGCTGACCGTGGCAGGGGCAACATCCTTCCTGTTCACTGAATATCAGTATGTGGGTATCTTCATGATTGCTTTTGCAATTCTGATCTTCCTTTTCCTCGGCTCTGTTGAGGGATTCAGCACTAAGAGCCAACCATGCACCTACAACAAGGGGAAACTTTGCAAGCCAGCCCTTGCAACTGCCATCTTTAGCACTGTATCATTCTTGCTAGGTGCTGTCACTTCTGTTATTTCTGGTTTCCTTGGGATGAAAATAGCAACTTATGCAAATGCAAGGACAACCCTGGAAGCAAGAAAAGGTGTTGGAAAGGCTTTCATAGTAGCATTCAGATCTGGTGCTGTGATGGGTTTTCTCCTTGCAGCCAATGGTCTCTTGGTACTTTACATTGCGATTAATCTCTTCAAGCTATACTATGGTGATGATTGGGAGGGCCTTTTTGAGGCAATTACTGGATATGGTCTAGGTGGCTCCTCCATGGCTCTTTTTGGTAGAGTTGGTGGTGGTATTTACACCAAGGCTGCTGATGTTGGTGCTGATCTTGTTGGGAAGGTTGAGAGGAACATTCCAGAAGATGATCCCAGAAATCCTGCTGTAAGCTACATGTTTTTCTTTAGGTGTAATTTATGACCTCTTGTAATGAGTATGTCAATAATCTATTCTTAATGTCTTTGCAGGTGATTGCTGACAATGTCGGCGATAATGTTGGGGACATTGCTGGAATGGGGTCTGATCTTTTTGGCTCATATGCTGAAGCATCATGTGCTGCTTTAGTTGTGGCTTCCATCTCGTCTTTTGGAATTAATCATGAATTCACTGCAATGTTGTATCCCCTGCTCATAAGTTCTATGGGTATCCTCATTTGTTTGATCACTACCCTTTTTGCAACTGACTTCTTTGAAATTAAGGCTGTCAAGGAAATTGAACCAGCACTGAAGAACCAGCTTATTATCTCAACTGCTCTTATGACTGTTGGAATTGCAATTGTTACATGGACTTGCCTTCCATCTTCATTTACCATCTTTAATTTTGGAGCTCAGAAGGTTGTGAAGAACTGGTACGTGTCAGATTGTTCTGTTGAATTTTAGCTATTTTATTAGATGCGTGTTTCCAGATTAGCTATTTTATTAGATGCGTGTTTCCAGATGTGACGTTTAGTAGCGAGCTGACACATGGTATTATAAATTGTTAATTGAATATGCCTCGCAATTGCCATTTTTTCATCTTTATACGTTGAACTTCATTTGTTTGGATTTTCAATTTCAAGTAGTATTGTCCTCCTGTGTTTGTATAAAATTGGTACTAGATTATTATTTGGTTGCTAATGCAGGCAACTATTTTTATGTGTGGCTGTTGGTCTTTGGGCTGGACTTATCATTGGGTTTGTCACTGAGTACTACACCAGCAATGCTTACAGGTGGATATCATAGTTCAATTTCATCCTCTGATGTCGTTTTATTGGTTGTTGATATAATATCTGATCGCTTTGACATTCTTTTCCCCTGTTGTTCATGTTTGCAGCCCTGTCCAAGATGTAGCTGACTCCTGCAGGACTGGAGCTGCCACCAATGTTATTTTCGGCCTCGCGCTTGGATACAAATCTGTCATCATTCCAATTTTTGCCATTGCAATAGCTATCTTTGTCAGTTTTAGTTTCGCTGCCATGTATGGTATTGCAGTTGCTGCACTTGGGATGTTGAGCACCATTGCAACTGGATTGGCCATTGATGCATATGGACCTATCAGTGACAATGCTGGAGGCATAGCTGAGATGGCTGGTATGAGCCATCGGATCCGTGAAAGGACAGATGCCCTTGATGCCGCTGGAAACACCACTGCTGCTATTGGAAAGGTTTGTTGCTTTCCAAATTTGTTTTGCTTATTCTTGTGAGCCTTTCTAGTGCATAGTTAAGGAGATCTACAGACGTAAATATTTATGGTAATTGGAGTATTATCAATTTGTGCTTGTCTTCAATCATCTTTTAGTTCGAATCTTGATTGGAATCTCTTTTTTCTTATTTTCGCAATGGAACTTCGTTCGGACACGTTTCATCTCCTTTTTGCTAACATGTGACTCTCATTTCTTTCTAGGGTTTTGCCATTGGATCTGCAGCACTCGTGTCCTTGGCACTGTTTGGTGCTTTTGTGAGTCGGGCTGCAATTACTACAGTTGATGTCTTGACTCCTCAGGTTTTCATTGGTTTGATTGTTGGTGCCATGCTTCCCTACTGGTTCTCTGCCATGACCATGAAGAGTGTGGGTAGTGCAGCTTTGAAGATGGTTGAAGAAGTTCGCAGACAATTTAACACTATTCCTGGTCTCATGGAGGGCACTGCCAAGCCTGATTATGCGACTTGTGTTAAGATTTCAACTGATGCATCTATCAAGGAAATGATCCCCCCAGGTGCTCTAGTCATGCTTACACCCCTCATAGTTGGGATTTTCTTCGGAGTGGAGACTCTCTCAGGTGTTCTTGCTGGTGCTTTGGTTTCGGGTGTTCAGGTATGAGTTGATTCTTTATTTTAACATTTTGGAGCTAAAGTCTTTTTGTGTGTGTGTGTGTGTGTGTATATATATATATATATATATATATACTTTTGATAGAATTGTGTCTAAATTCTGCCCTTCATCATTTTACAGATAGCAATATCTGCATCGAACACTGGTGGTGCATGGGATAATGCCAAGAAGTATATTGAGGTAATGAAAGAAACATCTCTGGTGTAACTTTTTGGTGTTCCATTGCACACAGTTTATTCATTTTAATTTTCCGTCAGGCTGGTGCTTCGGAGCATGCTAGGAGCCTTGGTCCAAAGGGTTCGGACCCACACAAGGCTGCTGTTATTGGTGACACCATTGGCGACCCTCTGAAGGACACTTCAGGCCCATCGCTCAACATTCTGATCAAGCTGATGGCAGTTGAATCTCTTGTGTTTGCTCCATTCTTTGCCACTCATGGTGGTCTGCTTTTCAAGATTTTTTAAGGAGCCTCTGGTTTTTCTTTCCACGACACCCTTTTACTCAAATTTCCCCAAGCATGGGGTTTCCAAGTTAGTTCGTAGGTAGTCAGAGGTTTTAGTTTTGATGAGCTGATGATGATGATGACGATATTTGTCAGCTTGCTTGTACTAGTCTTTTGTTAGTGTATTAGCTTTCATGTTGGGCGGACCTAGTTTCCAATTTTGTTTGTAACGATATTCACGTTTTAAGGAGATGAAGACAAATGTTCACCTTTTGTTTTCTTACACGATGTCAGATTGTTTCTCGACGTGTGATAACCCCACACTCCCCCTTCCATTTTCACTCTTCAATCGGGAAGGAATTAGCAAATATTGAAGGGACTATTACTTTTCTTTGCTTTCTCTTAATTCGGGTAGATCTCCAGTTCAAGATTTATATGACATCTATCTCACATCACGGAAGATTAAAATTGAATTTTGTTACTTTTAGCTTTCAACTGAGTTGACTCCATATGTCTTAACATGATATCAAAGTCCGAAAAGCTTCTGAGTTCGAATAACTAAAGTGTATGTTTTCAGAAGTTAGCAATTTGAACTTCTGGATGAAATAATTCAGGCAATTCAATTAAATTGAAGATATGTTTCACATTTGATAGCAAATTCGAGTGCAACCTTCAGAATTTACACTCGTTGAAGATACTTCCTTGTCCCGAGATATTTTGTTGAGCTCGTTTTTTTTCGAGTCGACAATGGCTTCCTAATAAATTAAATGCATTTTAGGACTTCAGAGTACGTCTACTTGTGCTCAACCAAAATGTTCACATTTGTTATACTTTTACCTACTGAGCAGGGGCGAAGCTATATTGGCCCAAGGATGGTCAACTGAGTACCCGTCGCCGAAAAATTATAAAACTTATAAGGTAAAATATTGATTGTTATCGATTAAAAATTAGACTTTGAACACTCTTGCATAGTCCACTGACAAAGGGTGTTCAAAATTTTCTGGCTTCGCCACTGCTACTGAGTGAGACTCCAGCACAAAGTTGTTCAATTTATGTAATAAGAAGCAATACAACGAGACCTACAAAAAGTTATTGAGTATGTATTATGTAATAAGAAGCAATACAACGAGACCTACAAAAATCAAAAGATTAATTTTTTATTTGTTTAACCGCTCTCAAATAATATATATATACACACATACTTTTACGGCTATAGGCTAAAAATGATCTTTGCGTTAACGGTAAATTTACACGGTATAGCCACTCTCCACATTAACAACTATAAAATAATATATAATATATATATAATTATATATAATATATATATATATATTATATAATTAATGTATATTTTTTTAAATATTTGACTAGCAATTTTTCTAATTATTTTGGGTCGGCCGGCCAAATATGTTAAAAGCCCATCTCTAAACCCCTCACAAGGCCCAGTTGCTTGACTTGCTTCTATTCATGTAAAAATTGCGTGTGGTAGCCACTTTTTAAAGTGGTATTTACTTTTTATCTAGCATTTTTAGTGCTGAGCAAAAGTAGCCACTAGTCTATTAAAAATAATATGAAAAGACGGTGTTGCCCTTTCTTCTATCTCTTTTCCTTCCCAAACCCTCTATCAAAATTTTAAAACCCTTTCTCCCGATCAGAATTTCCCAAACTCCTCTCGTTCTTCTCTTCCCCATGCAGTAAGTTCTTCCCCAACTTATTTGAAAATATCAAAGTTAGTCCTTAATTCCTATTTAAAATGAATGTGTTTCTTTACACAGCACACGAATGCATACATTTCATACAAAAAATATATAAGTATTCGGTTAGGAAGTTCAAGTCAAAGCTTTATTTTCTATTTGGCTTCTTTGAGGGGGAAAACTTCTTATATTATGATGAATCAATATAAAATCCCTCTCACTGCTGCCATAGTATTCTGGATTATCAACTGCTGGACATAGAAATACCAACCATCTCCATTATAAGAATGCTTGTCAAAGAGAGAATTGGTCCTTAAGTTAAAGTTGGAAGTTCAAAAATTAAGGACAGGTAGTCCTTGAGTTAGAGTTGCAAGCACAGAAATTAAGGACATGTAGTCCTGAACTTAGAGTTCAAAGTTCAAAAAATAAGGACATGTAGTCCTGAACTTAGAGTTACAAGCTCAAAAACTAAGGACAAGTAGTCCTTAACTTAGACTTACAAGCTCATAAATTAAGGACAACTAGTCCTGAACTTACAGTAACAAGCTCATAAGTTAAGGACACTTGACCTGGACTTAGAATTGGAAGTTCAAAAATTAAGGACATTTGGTCCTTAACTTAGAGTTCCAAGCACAAAAATTAAGGACAGGTAGTCCTTTACTTAGAGTTACAAGCATAGAAATTAAGGACAGGTAGTCGTGAACTTCGAGTTCCAAATTCAAAAGTTAATGACATGTAGTCCTGAACTTAGAGTTACAAGTTCAAAAGTTAAGGACAGGTAGTCCTAAACTTAAACTTACAAGTTCATAAATTAAGGACAGCTAGTCCTGAACTTACAGTAACAAGCTCATAAGTTAAGGACACTTGATCCTTAATTTTATGAGCAGAAGGTTATTTTTGTCCGGACGAATAAAAATTTATTAAAGCAGTGGCTAAAGACTACTGGCTAATTGTGCACTTGGCCCTCTATGCAACCAGCCCAACCCAGTTCGGCACGTGGAAGATTGATCTCACCATAAGCGATTACTGCAAGCACCAGATCATGAATCGTTGAAACTTCAAAAGGGTGATAGATTTGATAGTACATCAAAATACTCGTCACTTGTACAGCCAAGGTTGTTTTTTAGTTCCTCCGCCATGACAAAGTTGTCCTAATCCAATGACATAATCTTCTAGAGTTACCATTAACACCAAAAAATTTCTCCTTGATTGGCTTTAATCATTCACCATTTTTTCTCCATTCAGAAATATTGGAAGCTGAGGTATATTTTTATTTCCTTTACCTTTGCTTCTTTTTGAGCATTATTGCTCTTGTCTTTAAATGTTCTCCTTTTAGCATTCTGAACTGATGAAAAATCTGATTTTGATTAATGGGCATTTGCTAATTTGATGGGATTTGTAGTTTTTGCACTGATATTTGACTATGGGAAATGCTTCTTCAATGTTAACTCAATACGATATTGAAGATGTCCAGGAGCAGTGCAACCATCTGTGTAAGTCTCTTATTCATCTATTGAATCTCTTGGCCTTAAAAGACAAATTATTTAGTAGTATTATATGAAGTGGTCCCTAATATAGCAGAACGGATGTAGAGGATTCATATAGCCGACCCCAATTCGGATAGTAGTAGTAGTTGTTGTAGTTGTCTTTTTTGCAGTTACTTACTAATGTCCCATAAAATCCAGTTACTCAGCAGGAAATAGTGTCACTGTATGAAAGGTTCTGCCAACTTGATAGGAATTCAAAGGGTTTTATCTATGCTGATGAGTTCCTGTCAGTACCGGAGTTTGCAATGAATCCGCTCTCTCAGGTTTGGGAATAAGTTTCTGTTTTTGTGTTCAACTGTGGTTTTGTATGTATTATGATATTGGGATATGCTTCTTCTATAATTTTGTATGCTCTGTGTGTTTGATATGATTGCTTGGCTCTTTCCAGAGATTACTTAAGATGGTGGACGGCTTGAATTTCAAAGACTTCGTGGCATTTTTGTCAACTTTCAGTGCAAAAGCGAGCATGCAACAGAAAATTGAACGTTGGTTACTAAGCTGATCCTTAATATGCTTTATTTTGTAACTTCAGGAAGATGCTTCTTGATATCAAGAATCTTTAGCTTTTTAAAACATCATTCACTTTTAGTTACATCTGATATTTGCGAATCAATCAACTTGCTGAGGACATTCAGCTAAGTGTACGGGTTTATCGCATTTATTATATTTCCCAAAAATGAATATGTTTAACAAGTTCATTCATTGCCATAATTTTAAAGCACGCTCATTAAAGACATGATCTATCTGGACTAATAAATGACTGTCTGTTAGTCGTTCTAGAATCTGGTTTTGTGTTAGGGGATCTAGGAGTGGTGTTATGTCGTCCATATTGGAAAGTCCATCAAAATGAAAAGCAAGAATTTAAGGATTCCACCTATAGATCAAGTTTATGTTACAAGAAATGCAACATATTTTTCACTGTCCTTGGCAGTCTTCTCACCACTTCACTTACTGGTCTACTGTTTTTATTTTGCAGTTATCTTCAAAGTTTATGATTCTGACTGCAATGGGAAAGTGATGTTCGATGGCATTATAGAAGTGCTTCGGGATTTAACTGGATCATTCATTTCAGACAAGCAAAGAGAGGTATTCGTTACATGCTTTCATCTCCCCCTCTTTCAACTCACTTGTGACTTTATGTGATACAGAGCAAATCACAGTTTAAGCTTCTTATGGAGATAATCTCAAATCTTTATTCTGAACCAATAGGATTTATGGTGTAGAGTTGGAATGTGTTAGGTTTACTGATCACAAAGGTCCAAAATTCTTTGCATCAAAGAAGTAGGTTTAGCTTTATAAATGTGGAGGGTGAAGCCTATGATAGCAGATTTAGTTGCTTTGGAATGTATTACTGAGAGTGGATAACCTTTATGGCTTACATAGCTCATTGAAAACAGTTTTCCGATCTGTTAAGTAAAATAGGTTCGATTAGTTGTAGTTCTACGAACAAAAGCTGTAAGAGAAAGTCTTCCTTCTAAATGATCAGTTATGTGGTACATATAGGCAATTATTTGCTTCAGTTTCTGGAAATAGGAGAAATATATTTGACTCCATTCAGCTTCATAAATGATATGTAATAGCAATCCTAAATTAGATGCCTAGAATATTGTGATTTACTACAATATATTGCTAGGATTTGGTTAACTTTAAGTGATTGGCATCATTCCAAGAATGAAATGCCTATTGGCTCTCCATCTAGCTGTGTTTTTAGTTTCAACTCTCAGCATTTAGTTTTTCTGGAATGAGTATTATTGTAGATAATTTTCTTTTGATATCTCACAGCTCATGACGTGTTTCTTGAGGGATATTAAACTCTGGTTAAAGTCTTAAAATGATTATCACTCTTTCAAAAGAGGAAAAGATATTTAAAGCACTTCTAAAGAAGAACAAGGAATATCACTTCAATAAATTCTTTACCATTGATAGTTCAATGTCTTTTTTGGCTTTTCTTGCTTCTATATTGATTATTCAAAGGCCCCAACGTACCATTAGTTTTTTGTTTCAATGCTTTGGCCTCTTCTCCTCCTCCTCCTCCTCCTCCTCCTCCTCCTCCTATTACACATCTTTGTTATGATATAGGCACTAAAATGGTCTTAATGGACTATTTAGTTTCTACTTTACATGTTTTGGTGACTCACTGCCTTACTGTAGTTCTGACTTGTTAGAAAGGTCTAGCTTTTCTTTTAAAAGAATCTACCCTCAATGAGCAAGCTCTTTATTTTTCTTTTTTGATTTATGAAGTGGGAAGATTAAATGGATCAATTTTTTGGGTAACGTAGCTTTCCTCTAGATGTACCTGTGTGTTGGTTGCTTCTCATAGATTTGCTATAGCTTTTGGCTGACTGATTGGTGCGTTTACATTGCTTTATGTCCATTAATATTTGGACGTCTTTTTATTTCCCTTTTCGGGGGAGATAATATTAGTACGTCTCTTAATATCCTTTCCGAATTAAAATCCTTTTATATTCTGCATCTCATTTGAATTTCATAGCTTGGACTTTTTTTTTTGGTAATTCAACAAATTCTTTAACCATGCGAGATTTGTTTTGTAGGAAGTGCTGAACCAAGTTTTGCATGAGGCTGGCTATACAAGGGACTCCTTATTGCTCTTGGATGATTTCATCCAGGTTTGTTAGTCCTCAATGAATTAGGATCAATAGGAGCGTAGGTGGGGATGGGAACAACTTCTTTCATTTTTAAAAAATCGTCAATTTAGTATCTTACTATATCCTTTAACATAAGCACATACAGATCATATGACAAACTTTTTATCGTTTCTATTACTAAATCCAACTAGAGTGTTAAGTTTCTTTTTCCGCTCTCCCATTTTAGAAGTTCAAGGATATAATGCAATGGAAAATAGTTTAAGGGGGGAAGTTGCCACACAAAAAAAACTTGAAGGGTCTTTGCTCAGTACTCCTCTCATTATTATTAATGCAAATGTGATGATTTATGAAACTACTTACTGATGATTTTTTATTTCCTTCGCAGCAATGAATGTTCTGTTGCATATTTTTCTAAACACGTGCTAGCTTTTATTTTCAGATACTGGACCACCCAGGCATGAAGATGGAGGTGGAAGTTCCAATTGACTAGCTAAGCCAGCAGTTACCTATACTATAATTTAGATGTATCGTTGTAGAAGCACATGCTTGTGTTTTCTATTCTCTTTCTTCAATTTCGTGACCTGAGCTTTCCTCTTCTTTTTGTGTGTGTCTTCTTTTCGGGTTGAGGGACGGGGCGATCAGCCACATAGGTGATGGGATGCTGGAAAGCGGAAACCACCATGAACGGAAACAGAGTAAGCACGTATGTTTGTAACTGAATTTCAGCTTATTCATAAGTTATTTCGCGCTTAATGCCAATGTTCTTTCTTTCTGTCCAACTATTTATGTTGCTTCTATTTCTAATTGCCGTGTTCAGACTATTATATAAAAGAGTAAAGTTGATTGGCTGTGCCACATTGAAGCTCGTTGATTACTTAACGTTGAGATTGATCTTAAGCTCTGATTTTATTCTTTTATGCACAGATGCTTGAAACAGCTCCTGTATTAGTACAAATGTTTGTCGAAAAGGTTTCTGCAAAATTTCTCATTAAATATAAGGCTTCAAAGAAAGCTTGTACAAATCTGGAACTTTATTTAAGGGGCTAGCACCCGCAATGACTTTCTCTAACAATGTCTGAAAACCATTTTCCTGAACAACATGCAGTTTAAGCAGGAATTAGGAATATTTGCCAGTGGCCCGTTTTAGAGCCTAAAAAATGGCAGCCCAATACACAAGGCATCTCGCGTTCACGCAGGGTCTGAGAAAGAGCCGCACCTCAAGGGGTGTGATGTAGACAGCCTACCCGTGACACATTTTAGAGCCTCATGGTTAATATTTGCACATTGGATCTACAAAGAACGTTAGTCTACTAAAGCCTTCAGGATTAGTAAGGACTAAGGATATTTGAAGAAATGTCTTCAAACGGCTACAACAACAATAACAGCATACCCAGTGCGATCCCAAAAGTGAGATTTGGGGAGGATATGATATACGCAGACCTTTCTCTATTTTGTGTGAGGTAGAAAGGATGTTTCCGATGATATCTTCGAATTGCTGAATGAAAGAACCGTATATATGTAAAAGTGTTATTTAAATTATGCTTGTTCTTTTGCAGAAGCAGATCCTGAACTTACAATTAGCGAGTTTCGACTATGACAGTTTGATATATAAACTTTCCTACATATACATACATGATCCAAGTCAAAAACAGTGTGTTGTTAAAATCGCTGTAAAAATATGAAAAAGGCCATATTTTAATTAATTTCTTCAGTCCAAGCTGAATGTCTTTACCACCTTCAGCAGCATGCGTATCCGAACTTAGTCCAAATAGGATTCATTATAATAAGGGAGAACTTAGATTAGCTATTTCGTCATATCTCTTCTTCTCTTCTACTTGTATATTATAAATAATAAACACATACAATGTAACCATACGATAAGTGTGTGAAATACATCAAGAATTATATTGTCTTTTTTATCTTGGCTTTATACGCGAGAAGTAGCAGCTTATTTGGATGGTTGTTTTGTATCATTTCATAATATATCGTATGGTATTGTATTGTATTGATATCGTTTTGATGTATACAATGTTTAGATAGATTGTATTGTTTTTCGTCATTTAATGATGTTATGCACCAACAATATGAAGAATAAATTTATTGCAATATTACAAAGAAAAAGTAAGCTACGAGGTAAAATTATTATATAAAAAGGTAGGATAAAAGATAAAGTATGATTATATAATAATAAGGAAGGGCAAGATGAGAGAAAAAAATAAGGTAACGGCGCGACCACGCCAAATCGATCTTTCCATAAAGTTACGTAACGACGGATAACAATACGCTACAATACAACATGTAACAACCATCCAAACAAGCTTTAAGTATTTGAAAACAAACATAAGTTCCAAGAAGAATAATGCGCAAAAACTAGTACTTAGAAACCTTAAAGTTTAGCATCAAACTGGAAAAGGAAAATTACATAAAAAAGGGTCTTAATGCACTAATGGAAGGAGAAGAAGAGAAAATCACAGACAAGACAAGCAAATGAAAGAGACATATAACTAGCCAGATTCTTCATTCTTCCCACTTCCATTGTTACCATTTTTCTTAGCATTGCCATTAATAAAAGCTTTTTCATCATCACTGCTACTTTGCTCTCCATAAATCTTACAATCGTCGTCGCTATCATCATCGCTACTGTCATCATCATCATCTTCATCTTCATCTTCTTCTTCATCATCTTCATCTTCACCATTATCTTTCTCATTATCGTCGTCTTTTTTATCTTTATCATCATCATCTCCACCTCCGTTATTAGAAGTCTCTCCTTCATCATCACTAGATGTCATTTCGCCATATATCTTTCCATTCCATTCACCACTATCATCGCTACTTTCTTCAGAATCGCTGCCTTCTTCATCTTCATCTTCATCTTCATCATCCTTCATTTCAGCGGGGTCGTTGCTTTCAGGTTCTAGCGCTGTATTATGCTCAACAAGAGGAAACCTACAACAATATGTGATTGAACATGAAGGGAATACTTCTACCTAAATAATTAAATTGAATAAAGAAATTACTAAAAACCTAAAAGTATACCTCCTCGTCATTCCAATCAGATTTAGTAACAAAAGCCATTCAGTCTGAAAATAAATAAATCATAATCTGATTAACACATCTACACATGTGAGAAGCAAGATAGCGTTAAGAAAAAAACTTAAAGAGTTTCAATACATCAACAGTTAGTATATATACATGAAACCGTTGTGATCAATTAAGTATTTGAAACAAACCAAGCCAAACTCAACGTGGGAGATGGCAGACATCGTCAAATTAAGAAACACTTAGTATCTATACAATTTTAGGTTTGGCATCACTGAAACTTAGAACCATAAAAGGGTAATCCGGTGCACAAAGTATCGCGGATTCACGCAGGGTTTTGGAAGGGCGGTATCAAGGGTGTGAGGTAGACAACAACAACAACAAACAACAAATCCAGTGTAATCCCATAAGTGGGGTCTAGGGGTAATGTATTCGTAGACCTTACTACTACCTTGTAAAGGTAGAGAGACTGTTTCCGATAGACGCTCGACTCAAGGAACAGTGAAAATAAAGCAACAAATAATAGCTAACAACAAAATAATAGGGAAGGGTATGCCTAATGCGAGCATTAGTGGAGACATCTTCTGAGCCTACCCTAATGAAACCTGAAACCATAAAAGAAGATAAACACACACACACACACATAAAGTGTGTCTATATATACATAAGAAGCTAAAATGTATACCACATAGAGGAGAAACACTGAGCAAGCCATCAACTGAGAAACTGATCTTTCTGACTCCATTAATGAAAATCTTTTAGCTATATATTTGTAGAGAGAGGAGACAAATGGGTTGCTTGCTGCTGGTTGGAGAGCCAGTATTTATATTAGAGGTTTCAGGAATCTATGTTCTGTCTACGTAGAGCTATAATATTTTTCCTAAATTTGTTTGAGACAGATTTGGAATCAAATTTGAATAGATGAACGATTACATTAGAAAGTAAAAGACGATGATCTAAAGTTAATATTTTATCAAAGGAAAAACTGTAAATTCATTTTGGATATTTAATATTTTTCCTCAAACTTTATTTTTCACTAAAGGAGTTACTTATTTGGTATCTTCTTCGTTGATTTTGCTTCTAATATTTGTCAATTAAGGAAGCCTCAGTCTTGGAGGATTGGAGGCAGTGTGAAACTGTAATTTTATGCTGTGTGAAGGGAGCATATATTTTAGGTTAAGCCATTAAATTTTTTGAAGTTCTGTCCAAAAGCTATAAGGCAAGTTTGAAATAAATTCCGTATTATATCGATTAGATGTGTCGAGTAAAAGTCCTGGGCAAGAGGCGAGACGTTTTATCTATCACGAGGCGAGGCATAAGTCCTGAGGCACGGGGCGTAAGCCCCATGGGTAATTAAATTTTAATTTTTTATAAATTAATAAAAGACATTTATAAATAAAAAATATATTAAATTTTATTAATAATTTAAAAAATTATAAAATTAGTAGGAAAATGTATATATCTATTAAATATGCTAACATATGCATGAAACATACAAACAAATATTTTTTCTTGAAAAAACATAAGACGTAATAATGCAGCACACCTATAACATGACTATGATAAAACATACTTAAAGTTATAAAAATAACATTGTAGTTCCTAATAATTCAAAGAATAAAACTAACAATAATATAAAGTTATTGTAAAAACCTAAACTAGATAACAAATCATAAATACTCATTGAATAATACGACTAGTCAGAATAGAGTTATCAAAATAATATCTAAACTAGATGGATACCAAAAGAAATTATAAAATCAAAAAATAACTTGAAAAGAATATATAAATAAAGAATATACATAAAAACTTGAAGAAAATAAAATATAAAGAAGGAAAATGCAAGCGTAAAAGTAGAGTAAGAATTGGAGGACAAAACTCTTTTCTTTGTAGTTTGTACTTTACAAACAAAGGTCTAAAGTATATTTGTTATTTAATAGTAAATTATAAAATTAGGATAAACAATTACAAAAAATCTTTGACTTTTAAGATTTTTAGTTTAAAACTTTACTAAAGTAACTTTTGTATATTTAAGTACAAAAAATGATTTATTAAACAATTTAAGCTTAATTTTTTGGAAAAGTTCTTTGGGCTTATGCCCCAAATGAACGCCCAAAACCTTGTGACTTATGCCTAGGCCCGGAATGTTGGGGCTTATGCCTCGCAGTTCTTACGCCAGCACGTCCCGATGCGTTTTTGGTATGCCTCGCCCCAAGGGGTTGCCCCGGAACTCGTCCAGAAAACGTCTTTTAAAACACTATTTAAGATATTTCAATTCATATATTTGTTTTGTTATTTTACAATTAAATATACATTGAAACTTTAATTAGAAAAAATTAAATGTATAATTTATCAATCAATCATATGTTTGGGATCTCCTTTTGAAGAAATATGTTTGGAATATGGAGCCACTAGCCATGTTTGTACCAACAAAGAGTTATTTGCCTTTTATGTTCCCGATGGGCCCGACGAGACTATCTTTATGGGAAACTCTGAAACAACAGAAATTGAAGGAGTTGGGAAGATATCTTTAAAGATGACTTCAGGCAAAGTTGTGACTCCAAACAATGTTCTCCATGTTCTCGAAATTCGCAAGAATTTGATCTCTGTTGGACTTCTTATCAAGAGTGGATAAAGTGTGTGTTTGTTTCTAAAAAAATTGTAATAAGTGAGAATGATGTGTATGTAGGAAAATGTTACCTAACTGAGGGCCTTTTCAAGTTGAATGTAATAACTATTTATATCAATAAAGTTCAAGCTTCTTCTTACTTACTTGAGTCAAATAATTTATGGCATGCATGTTTAGGTCACGTCAACTTCAAAACTATATGAAAAATGGTTAACTTGGAAGTATTGCCTAAATTTGAATGTGATAATTTGAAATGTCAAATATGTGTGGAATCTAAGTATGTTAAATATCCTTATAAGTCAGTTGAAAGGAATTCAAATCCTTTAGACTTAATTCACATAGATATTTGCGACATGAAGTCAATACCATCTCGCGGTGGAAAAAAAGTATTTCATAACTTTTATTGACGACAGTACTAGATATTGCTATATTTACTTACTTAATAGTATAGATGTAGCAATTGAGGCGTTCAAGCAATACAAAAATAAAGTTGAAATGCAACCAAATAAAAAGATCAAAATGATAAGAAGTGATAGGCGCGACGAATATGAATCTCCTTTTGAAGAAATATGTTTGGAATATGGCATTATTCACTAAACAACTGCCCCTTACTCACCGCAATCTAATGAAATTGCGGAAAGAAAGAATAGAACGTTAAAGGAGATAATGAATGCCTTGTTGATAAGTTTGGGTTTATCCCAGAACTTGTGAGGGAAGATAGTCTTACACCTAACCAAATACTCAATCGAGTTTCCTATAACAAAACGCAATCCATTCAATATGAAAAATGGAAATATAGGAAACCCAACTTAAAATATTTTAAAGTGTGAGGGTGTTTGGCTTACATGTTCCTAAATCCAAAAAGGTAAAAATTGGACCAAAAATCGTCGATTGCGTTTTCATAGGATATGTATGAAATAGTAAGGCATATCATTTGTGGTTCATAAATAAAAAATACCGAAATTCATATTAATACGGTAATCGAATCCCATAATGCTGAATTCTT